TCCGACCATGATCCGACCATGATCCGACCATGATCCGACCACACACGAGACCGTCTCGCACCGGGGCATGTAGCTGTATAAGAGTTGTTGCCTTGGAGGCCTGCGGAGGGGTTTGGAGCGTTTGAGGGCGGGCAAACGGCAGTCTTCAACCCCCTGAAAAACAGATGGCAGAGGCATGTAGCTGTAAGAGTTGTTGCCTTGGAGGCCTGCGGAGGGGTTTGGAGCGTATGAGGCCGGGCAAACGGCAGTCTTGAACCCCCCGAAAAACAGATGGCAGGGGCATGTAGCTGTAAGAGTTGTTGCCTTGGAGGCCTGCGGAGAGGTTTGGAGCCTTTGAAGCCGGGCAAACGGCAGTCTTGAACCCCTTGAAAAACAGATGGCAGGGGCATGTAGCTGTATAAGAGTTGTTGCCTTGGAGGCCCCCCTGCGGCAGCGTCGGGAAAAATTAAAAAACCAATCAAAAGCAAAGAACGAAAAGATAAGCGAGAATAGAAGGGAGGATAGTAGGACATTATGAGAAGAAAGGGAGATGAGAGAGGGTAATGTGTTTGGAGCGTTTTTACGGCGGGCAACCGGCATCTTGAACCATTACAAAACAGATGCAGGTGCATGTAAGCTTGTTATAATATTGTTGCCGTGGATGGCCTGTGGAGTGTTTGGAGCGTTTGAAGCCGGGCAAACGCAGTCTGAACCCCCGGCAAAACAGATGCAGGGGCATGTATCCGTGAAAAACAGATGGCAGGGGCATGTAGCTGTACGAGTTGTTCCCTTGGAGGCCGCGGAGGGGTTTGGATCGTTTTGAGGCGGTCAGCAACGAGCAGGTCTTGAACCCCCTGAAAAGATCAGGTTGGAAGCCTTTGAGGCGGAACGGCAGTCTTGACCCCCTGAAAAACAGATGGCAGGGGCATGTAGCTGTAAGAGTTGTTGCCTTGGAGGCCTGCGGAAGGGTTTGGAGGGTTTGAGGCCGGGCAAACGGCAGCCTTGAACCCGCTGAAAAACAGATGGCAGGGGCATGTAGCTGTAAGAGTTGTTGCCTTGGAGGCCTGCGGAAGCGTTTGGAGGGTTTGAGGCCGGGCAAACGCAGTCTTGAACCCCCTGAAAAACAGATGGCAGGGGCATGTAGCTGTAAGAGTTGTTGCCTTGGAGGCCTGCGGAAGCGTTTGGAGGGTTTGAGGCCGGGCAAACGGCAGTCTTGACCCCGCTGAAAAACAGATGGCAGGGGAATGTAGCTGTAAGAGTTGTTGCCTTGGAGGCCT